GCTTAAAAATATTAAGCAAAACATTTGATAATTTCGCTAACTACACAGGATGTCTTCATCAGAACAGAGAGAGTGAAGCCAAATAAAGCAGAATTGAAAACAGTTTTACAATGTAATTGGTTGGTTATCTTTTCCGACATTTTGTTTTTCTATCCTATAAACATAAAAAATGTACTTAGACTTCAAGATGGCAGACATTGAGGAATAGCAAACATAGTAGTTTCAAAGCATTACTGCTTTTTCCTCGTGAAAATCTGGGAAATGGGCTCTTTATTTCAAAATATTTAAAACTTTAATATAGTAGTCATTTACCTAAGTTCGTATGGATCTAGATAGCAAATCTATCTATCTCTATGTAACAGTGTCTGCATTTGTTTTGCATCTAAAAATGTTACATTTGAATAGTTGGATGTCCATTTCATAATGCTATCATTTGAATAGTTGGAAATAATAGGAAGGGAATTCCACAGGCGGGAGGTGAGAGACATGAAGCTATTGGAGTAGAAGAGACGGCTATTTTTAACCGTTTCGACAGTGAAAGGGTGGGATCGAGATGCCAGCCTAGTAGCACGTTTAAATTCATGCTGTCTGAGAACTAGCGAAAGTACCTCGTCTCAGCAGTTACCGTGAAAGTATTTGTAGAAAAGACAGAGAGAGGCGGCGGTACGTCTGTTAGAGAGCGACTGAAGACGAGATGCCAAATCAGGACCAACCACATTGCTTATCGATCTCTGGATCAGGTCGAGGATCTTAAGGTGAACAGCGGGGGCAACAGACCATATATGGCAGCAGTATTCCATGCAAGGTCGAACGGTTGATTTAAAGATTTGAAGAATGGACTCGGTCAAGAAAAACTTTCTGGGGCGACACACGGATATATATATATATATATATATATATATATATATATATATATATATTCAAGTATATAATTGGTATATACGGAATGAATTCCAATAAGCAACAATTACTATTCTTAGTGATTTTATAACATACTTATGTTATAATTTTTTTTTTATAAATTATATATATATATATATATATATATATATATATATATATATATATATATATTTAAGTTATGAAAAACTTGGTAATCCGTATGGGTAGTCCCAAGGAGGATGAAATCCTGAGACCTCAATGTAAATCCAGAGCTAATATTTTAAAGAAAAACAGACCACTTTAAGGTTCCATTATAATAATTTGTTTCACCAGAGCCGTTTTAAAGGACTCTGGATCATCTGATGACACTTCCAAAAGATGAAACGAAACGAAATGAAATCAAAATTCCTACTTTTGATGCGTAGTGTAAATCTTTGTAATTTAACATAGGGGGTAATGAGGGGTGGTTTGAGAGACATGATCGAGTTTAGAGAGGGTTTATTTAATATTTCTTTCAATCACACTTAGTATTGGGGGAGGAAGGACCAGATCATGACCTATTTAATCGGTTAACCTAACGGAAGTGATATATTGAAAAGGGAGAGAAGAGAGAAAAAGAAAAAGAAAAGTGAAAGAAGGGGGAAGTAAAGAGAAAGAAGGTGTAAATAGATTTCATGTAGGAAGGAGATTGGTGGTATAGTTTTAGCAATTTATGTAAAAAAAACAGATTTTAATGTTTGATAGTAATTTAAATGTCTAAAGAATTTATGAAGAAATTAATTTGATTCTTGCTAGCAATTTAAATATTTAACACTTTTATAAATAAGTTAGAGATTTAATATAAAATAAATACTGTATCTATTAACACATTCATAGAGAACACATTAAAAATCTTTCTTAAAAATATAAAAGTTAACAGATAGTAATCATATAATATTGTAAAAGACTGTTAAGGTAATATCTCTATCAGTTTGAATCTAATTCATGAATTAGATTCATATATCTTTATATATATATATATATGTGTGTGTGTGTGGAAGGATATATGTTTAATAAAATAAACATATATCCTTCCCTATATATATTAAGAAATGGACAAAGTCCGACTATTTATTTATTAAAGACATTTTTATGTTTAACGTTCTTTTTATAGAGACAAGTATTTAAGTAAATGCTCTGTTTATAATAAACAGTATTAAATAACATTTACCGGCCTGAATGTCCGTTATTTACGCTGACGTGCCTTGACCGCTCGGCCACATGGAATATTGAAGCTTATAAGCAGTAAATTCAACCTTGCCAACCAAACGATCCTTTGTGGCCGAGCGGTTCCGTATAGGATGCAGGTTCGAATCCTGTCAAAGGACGAATATTTTCTATGAAAATTTCTCGGACATTCAGGCCGGTAAATGTTATTTAATACTGTTTATTATAAACAGAGCATTTACTTAAATACTTGTCTCTATAAAAAAGAACGTTAAACATAAAAATGTCTTTTTTTTTATTATATATATATATATATATATATATATATATATATATATATATATATATGCAAGGATATATGTTTATTTTCTTTTACAAAAAAGGTCGCATATGTCGAACATTCGAACAATTTTTACCCACTTTATGCTAAGAGAACAAAATTATAATGATGACTGGGATTAGATGCATTTGATTCGGAAGAGAAGGAAATTTCCGACGATTGATTCAGATTGATTGATTTAAAGACAGAAAATATTTTCAGATTGTAAAAAATATTGGGGAGATAATATTGATTTGTATACTTTGACAATTTCTATTATTTAACCCATAACTGGGGGGAGCGTTGGATTCATGTATTTCCCAATGGGGTAAAAACTGGTTTGCTAGATTCAATGATTCGTGGACGAAGCTAGTTATATTCCACCATAAAGAGTTCTTACCCCGAACTACCACCAATCAAGATGAATGGTGGTCTGCTCGGGGAAGCACCGTGACTTGAAAGACTGTTGGGCCTCAAATTCGCAACCGACCTCAAGTGAAACACGTACATACGATCCGTTGCTAACGATGGAAGTAGAATGGTTGGCTCCCTCTAGCACTCCAGTACCTGACTCCTCCTGCTATACTCTACTTTTACAAGAGACAAATCATGAAAAATATGGAGTAATGTTTGTGCAAGAGTTCCCTAGGCCTGACTTCCCAGACTCTACTGAGTTCAAAAGCATCTCAGATTCCTTGTGGGTGACGGATTATTCTCCACACTTCAACCTCTTCCCCACAAGCAGGGTGTGGCAAACCTCTCGCCGCTCTGCCGTTACTTCCATCAAAAGTGCACGGATGAACTTCATTCCCAGACCCCGTCGAGGTAAACCTTCTTAGTAAAAATACGCCATACTACTTCCATAGTAGCAGGCCACTCATATTTCTTCCGTATTTCATCGCTGTGAAGTAGGTTACACTTGAAAACTTTTTTCCCGCGAACAGCCGCCATGTTGAACCAACTCCTAATAGAATTAATTTCGAATCATTCCTATCTTAACCTGTTCAAGGCTTGAATTAATCGTTACCTTCCACTCGTATATACACAAATGGGCTCCACACGTATCCCTCTACCTCGAGTGGCCCGTAGTTCTTGTAAACGGTGAACTTTAAAAATAGGCGGTTTGCGACTGAAATTGGGACTGGGATCTCCGATTTCTAATTCTGGGCCGTTATCCATTGCAGCACCTAAGCTTACAGAAATTAATATTCACAAGCGGTCACATGGGTCGACGTTGCTTAACTTCCCTGATCATGCGAGAAGCGCTGTTTCAGATGGCCGTAAGCGTACACGTCCTTCGGTTTTCTTTTTTTCCGCATTACTTTTATTAGTTTGGGAACTTCTTGATAATATTTTCATCATCGCTACAGCGCTTCTTGTCTAGATATTATTATTTCGTCAGGAAATAAATCCAAGTAGAAAGAATGAACATTTTCGATATATGATAGCTTGTTCCACATAAAAAGCAGAAAATATATACCGGCCTTTATCATCGAATAAGCTGGCCACATTCCCTGAAAGAGACTTTGACTTCCTCTTTGTTATTCTAGGGAAAACAAGACGGGAGAATTGTTGGGTTATTTGCCAATAAAGAACCTGGTAAAGGAAAGCGGGTATGGAAAAGAGACGAAGGAAATCAATCTGGGTAAAATAATTACAACGCCCAAAATGGTAACAGCAACATAATATAAGGGGAATGATTAATAAAAAAAGAAAAAAAAAACGGAATAAAAATTTAAATAAAATGAATGAAAGAAGACGCGAGTAAAATGAGAAAAAGGCGAAAGAAAAACATGTAAAAAAAATAATAAAAAAGGGTATATAGATAGAAAAGTCAATAGGAAATTGAAGAAAGAAAGAAAGAAAGAAAGAAAGAAAGAAAGATAGAAAGAAAGATGGACGGGAGTTAAGGAATGAAGAAAATGTTCATATATAACGATGTAAAAATAAGAAAGAAAGAAAGAAAGAAAGAAAGAAAGATGGACGTGAGTTAAAGAAAAAAGAAATTTTTCATATATAACGATGTAAAAATAAGAAAGAAAGAAAGAAAGAAAGAAAGAAAGAAAGATGGACGTGAGTTAAAGAAAAAAGAATTTTTTCATATATAACGATGTAAAAATAAGAAAGAAAGAAAGAAAGAAAGAAAGAAAGAAAGAAAAAGAAAACGCATGGCAGGGAGTTAAAAATGAAGAAAAAATATATATAAATAAAAATTTAAACAAGAAAGAAAGACACGAACAAACAAACAAACAACAGATGGGCAGGAATTAAGAAAATTATTTGGATATATAACGATAAATAAGTAATAAAGAAAGAAAAAAAGAAAGAAAGAAAGATAACGGGAGTTAAGGAAAATTTTTTTTATATATATATTACGATATAAAGAAAGAAAGAAAGAAAGAAAGAAAGAAAGAAGAAATAAAGAAAGAAACAAATGAAAAAACAAAGAAACAAACACCAGATAGACGGTAGTTTTAAAAATATATATATATATATATATATATATATATATATATATATATATATATATATAACGATAAATAGGTAATAAATAAATGTATAACATGGACGGGAGTGAAGTAAAAAAATTTTTTTATATATAGCGATGTAAAAGGAAGGAAGGAAGGAAGGAAGGAAGGAAGGAAGGAAGGAAGGAAGGAAGGAAGGAAAGAGATAAAGAAATGAAGACTGCAAAATGAATGAACGGAAGGGCGTGACAGTCAGTAATGAAGAAAAAGTAGAAACAATAAAAGAACGATGGGAGAAAAATGATAAAGAGGAAAATGGAAAAGACAGATAAAGTAAAAGAAAGGAGAACTAAAGGAGAATGTAAAAAATATAAGATGGAATGATGGAAGGAAAAAGAACGAAGGAAAAACGACGTAAATATAAACAAAAAAAAAGAAAAGGTAACACAAATAAAACATAAGCCTATGGTTATAACAATAAAAAAACGCCATGTAAAAGGAAGAAGTAAGGAGGAAAATGGAAAGAAAATGAAAGAATAAAAGCGCCTATAATAAAGATAGGAGGATGAAGAGGAGGTTGAAAGAAGGAAAAAAAGAAAGCAAAAAACGAAAAACGAAAAAAGGAGAAAAAACAAAATGGCTATAAGGGAGTGAAAGAAAGATGAAAATTTTAATTGGACAAAAGAGTAAAAATCGTTTAAATAGAAAGGATAGAATTCATGAGAAAATAATGAAAACAAAAAGGAAGAATGAATAAATAAATAAAATAATTTGTGAAATAAAAGAAAACGAAGAAAATGTTTATACATAAAAAAAATCGGACTGAAAGAAGAAAATAAAACAATGCAATTTGAAAGAAATAAAAAATGGTCGATCCAATACTGGAGGTTATGGAAAAGAGGAAAAGAAAAGATCCGTCCATGATTGGATCTGGAATGAAAGAAAAGACTTAAACTAAACACAGTTCACATAAAAGAAGAAGAAATACAAAAGACAAAAAAACGAAAAAAAGGAAAACAAAAGTAAAAATAAAAAGATGAATAATAAATTGTAGAAAGAGTTGAATGATGAAGAAATAATTAGAGACAGAAAAATGTGTGTGCGGGGTAAAATTGTCTGTTTCAAACAGAAACTGATATTTGAGCTCATATCCCAAGACATTCTTTTCACCTCTAAAAAAAAACGAAAAAAAGAAAAGAAAAGGAAAAAAAAGGAAGGAAAAAACTCGTCATAAATTGTCTTATTTATCTGTTTGCCTTTCCATTTTCTCATTGTGCACGCACGTGTGAATGTGTGTGTGTGTTACCACTTTTTTTTGTCGCATTTTCCCTCCCACACAGACCAAAAAAAAAAATACCCTGTCTGTAACTGAAACTGCGGCATTTGGATAGACATGTCATTCGATCCCCCACCAAAATGACAAATAATTACGCACAAAGTCATTATGTCAACTGGCACTCCGCAGGAAACAAAAAAGAAAAAAAGAAAAAGAAAAATAAACAAATAAATAGGCTAACAGCTACCCCCTCTTTATGCTCTTTGTTGCTGTTTTCGGCTGAAGGTTATCCAGTTACACATTTAACCATTTTGTTTCTCGTTAGTATATTCCATGAGACGAATTTTAAATTTTATACAATGACGTGCCAAAAGTTAGATGTGGTTTCGTTTAGAAGTATGTCTAACCCGGTTAATCGTCGTAACTCGATGTGGAATCTAATCTATATGTGATCGAAAGTCATCTGAAGAGAGATTCTGGCATAATGTTTCAATAGATGTTTACAGCTCTTTAATATTTGTTGGTGCAAAGACAAACATGAAAGTTATTTATTTATACATTTAAGCATGTTGTTACTCGTTAGTATATTACAGAGAAGAACCGTCTATGTATATTTCATACAATGACGTGCCAAAAGTCATGACAGGAATATTGTTTAGAAACCCATCTAGCTCGGCGACTAAAAATTCACAAGTGGTCAAAAGATATCCAGAGGGAGTTTGCGTCATGTTGTCTACAGCACTCTCATATTAATCGTGTGAATAGAGTTCTCCAATATGTTTCATAAATATTCGATATATTTGCGCAGAATCCCGTTACAAAGTCGTATCTCGAAAAAAGTCATTTTTTTTTTGCTTCCTCTACATTTTCTAGACTTGAAAACAATCACTGCTAAACATCCCACTGTATACCCTATTTAAGCAATAGCTGGGAAAGAAGTGATCGATTCATACATATTTGCAGTGAATATATCAAGATCGACTGGAATTCGAACTTGGCTCTCCTATTTCTAACTTCAAACCGCTATCCATTACTCCGTCCGCACATTCCTATGTCCTTGATTCTCATCGGAGAAAAATGGTGAGAACCGAAATCTCTGCCGAACATTACCCAGAAGCTGGCTGCGTAACCATAGCTCATTCGCCCTCATTACAAGGATGAATCTGTTAGTCACTTGGTGGGTAGACATCAAGGTGACATAGGAATCCAATCTACCACGGTTTTGAAATCAGAGTGGGAACCTTCTCCTAGTCAGATTGTTTGCCCAAATGCCAAGGTGTAGGGAAATATGCAAGACAGGCATGATCAACTAACTAACGTATTTGAAATACCCGTATACACAAAGATGAAACAAAGCTTAACAAGTTACTACCAAAAGTGCTGTCACTGAAACTGTATGTTAATATAGTTTGTTCATTTCCCGTTGGGCGCCATATTGCTTGGAGAATTTGAAACTCACAGGGTAGATTGAAGGCAAAAGGGTCAGAGTAAAATAACGCATAACAGACCTAGCGAGCTGGTGTAAATGGATGACAGAACAGGGTGTAGGAGACATAATAAAAATGTAAAGAAAAAGCCACTTTTATTTAATCTAAGAAACAGAGTCAAAATTTCATGGGTAAATAACGAGAGAGTGCTTGGAAAATCATTATTATTATTATTATTATTATTATTATTATGCGAATTTGTCTTATGAGTGATGCGGACAAATAAGCAATATCATGTCTCTCCGGAGAGACATCAGCTTTTCTTGGTATGACGGCAGAAAAAAAAAGTATTTCTTTTTAATTTTCACCATCATCATCATCATCATAATCATCAACAACAACAACAGCATCATCATCATCATCATCATCATTAGTTCAATGACCGGTTGTGGTCATAGGAACGTTTCACACCTGAGGATATGACCAGCTCTCTCCATGAATCACGGCTGTGTGCCAATTTATAACCTTTTGTGAATGAGTCTTCCAGACGATTCAATGATATTGTCAGCCCATTTTACTCTGTCCGATTCTTATATTTGCCCGAGACGATACTTTGCAGGTTGACAGTGGAGATATTGTACGCTCTTAACAGGTGTCCATACCATTTCAACGTCGCTCTCCAGGAGTTGTTCCAATATGCTCGTTTTATGTCTGATGGTGTCTCGCACTATGTCAGATCTGATGGTGTCGACACTGGAAATGCTTAGGTTTTGTAGCGTCTCATTTCTGATGGTTGGATTCTTCGTTGTCGTTCTTCAGATAATATCCAATATTCGCAGACGTCCAGAAAGACTGAAAAGGCCAATGCATGCAACAGTCTGGCCTTTGAATTTAAACAGCCTTTCTTGTCATCAAAAGTTGTTTTTAGTTTTGGGAAAGCTCTTAGAATTATTTCCATTCTGGTTCCCTCTTCACTGATAACACTGACCAACATTTTTTTTTTTTGCATATTAGGTTGCAAAGCAACGATAATGGCTAGTATAATATATTAATATATATATTTTTAACCTCGCATAATCTGACAACCCTGAATCTGAATGTTTCTGGGGTATATTGGAGTCGTTGAATTCGAAAAGAAAATTGACTTTGTCCAATTCGCTCTAGTTTTTAAGATATTACTGAAATGCCTTTTTCATGTCTGCGAATCTGGACACAATAATACTAATTGATTTTCTGCGTTACTGGTACATGAACCTTTCCACAAAACTAAGTTTATTCAGTTATTTAGGCTATTGGTAATCATTATTGAATAAATTTAACATTTTATTCATGTTTTTTGATTGTATTTTAATAATTAAAATGTGACTTTTACTTGCAGCATGCTACTATTTTAACAATCTTATATATAAAGTACAGTGTTTGCGCGTATGTTTCCAAGCAAATCCTCCGCTCCTACTGGTCCGATTTCAATTATTCATACCTCATTCAAAAGCAATAGAAAGGATAGATGCAGAGAGCGATTTTCGTTGAGCTCAGATTCAGGGGTGCCAGATTATGTGAGGTTAAAAAAATATATTAGTATATTATACTAGCCATTATAGTTGATTTGATGCTCCAAGGGGAGTAACTCTTATTTCGTTTTGTATCCCAAATCCAAAACTGCAGTGCACGTTTTATTATGAACTAACTGAAAAGCCAGCCTATCGAGCGGCATTTAAGCTAGCTCCCGTGGAGGACTAGTGGAGGTCTCCTGTGGAGGTCTCCTGTGGAGGTCTCCTGTGGAGACTTGTGGAGCTTTAACTAACATCACAATAACTAGGGAGGAGTAGATGCGATAAACTACAGAAGGACTCGAAATTTATCGTTGCATTTAAGTATTGAATTAATGTTTAAGCTTACCTCTAATTCTTGTGAAGCCACTTACTTTAAAGACGATTTGATGTACGTACATCCTCGGTCCTGGGTATGACGTTAAACTGCATCCAACGGCAAGGCCTCTGATCAGGAAGTTTTGAGGAGCGTGGAACCACCTCTTAATTGCTGATGTTCCCAGGTCCACCCTGACCCGGATTGGTAGCACATGTTAGGAATCCCAGCTATGAGCAAATAGTGAACTCCCAGTCTAGCCCGAGTCCATGGGTATGACGATAAACTGCATCTGAGTCCATGGGTATGACGATAAACTACATCTGAGTCCATGGGTATGACGATAAACTGCATCCACATCCATGGGCATGATGGTAAACTGCATCTGCGTCCATGGGTATGACGGTAAACTGCATCCCCGTTCATGTGTATGACGGTAAACTGCATCCGCGTCCATGGGTATGACGGTAAACTACATCTGCGTCCATGGGTATGACGGTAAACTGCATCCGCGTCCTGGCTATGGCGATAAACTACGGCCAACAGAAAGGCCGTTTTTGAAAAATTAATGTTGTCCACCATACGTTTTTGTAAAAGTAATATTACCAGCTATAAGTTTTCGAAGGAATAATATTACCAACAGTGTGTTTTTGAAAAAATGATATTACCAGCCATACATTTTTGAAAAAATTATATTACCGGCCACACGTTTTTGGAAAAATAATATTACCAGCTATGCTTTTTTGAAAAATGATATTCCCAGCTATACATTTAAAAAAAGAAAAATATTACCAGCTATATGTCTTTTAACAAAATCTTATTCAATGGAATTGTAACTGGGGTCAAAACACTGTGATAGGATGATGTTTTTTTGTTTTTTGTTTTTTTTTTAAATAATAATGTTGCCAGGTATACGTTTTTGAAAAAAAAAAAAATAATGTTGCCAGCTATACGTTTTTGAAAGTATGGTGTTGCCAGCTGTGGGTTTTTGAAAAAAAATAATATTGCCAACTATAGGTTTTTTGGTTTTTTTTTAAATAATGTTGCCAGCTATACGTTTTTGAAAAAATAATGTTGCCAGCTGGACGTTTTTGAAAAAAATAATGTTGCCAGCTATACCAAAATCATTTTCGGCATAAAATGACCACTAAGGTTGGAATGCCGTTAAACAAACAAACAAACAAACGTACACCCTCATTTTCCGTACAAACAATTTTTTTATCTCATGGGTAACTGAAAAGTGGACAATTTTTAAGATAAAATTAATATAGTGTAAAGATGGGGAAACAGAAAGAAGAATTAGTTATACATTCAACATTTGAAGAGTTAAAGAAACTTAGTAGCCATTTAAGT